TTCTACATAAGAAAATGCCTGTACCGAGTCAGGAATATTACACTTGTTATCCATTCGTTTGATGTGTTTGTTTTTTAAATTTTGCCATTTGATTGGGGACTTTCCTTTTTGAAATTTCCTCGGAGTTCAGTATTTTTGTGATTTTACTTTTTTCTTTATGTTTCAAATTTTAAACTTCGCATTTCCGCAAACTGGTTCCCGATATTTACATGTGATAAACAAAACAGTCGACTTGTGTCTTCTGCACCAATTCCGGAAAAGGTCGGTTTTCCGTAATGCATAACGAAACGAGGGCAGTTACATTTAATCGACAGTATTCAATTCTTAATTTCTTAAATATACATGAACGAATTAAATAAACATTAAAGAAAATTAATTGTTTATAAATACATTATTTTTAATTTAAAGTTGACTCTTTTGAATTTTGATATTAGAAGAAATATAATCAGCTGACTTCATGATTAAAGTATTGATAAGATGATGTATTGTGTCTAGTGTTATTTAACTTATACTGAAAAAAAACCAACTAACTAAATTCCATAAAACGTTGTCTGTGAGATATTGAACAAAGTTTTAATAAAATGTTATTTTCATATCCGTAAAATGTTGAATAAAATATCAGTAAAAAAATTAAATAAAGTGTATGTCAAAATATTTTATAGAAAACATTTAGCCGATATCTTTCAGATGTTAAATGTAAAACATTTTAATTAAACGTTATAAAACATTTTATGTAAAATAGCAAAACTATATTTTCTGCAAAACATTTTTAGCAGAACGTTTTTGGGATAAATGGTTTAGCATTACAAAATACCAATTGAAGAAAATATTATTTTTTTTATTTTATAGAAATATGTACGGGATATTTCAGAACAATGTTTGAGAACGTAAATAAAATATATTAGGAAATAATATTTTTTTGATGTTGTTAAAACATTTGACCTAAATGTTAGAATTAAAACATTTCAAAAACAATAAACATTTTGTTGATGTTCAAAGGACATTTTATTGCAATGTTTTCGGAAAGACATCTATATGACATTCGAAAAATGTTTCTAAAATGTTATGTGTTTGCTGGGATAGCCGACTATACGGTTTTGGTCATCATTGAAGGCCAAGATTGGGCGGTATTTTCCGTCCTTGGTATTTACCGGCGGTATCTACCGGTATTTACCGACCCGGACAATACTTCTCCAGTGGTCAATATTGTCAAGTACTGGTCATTTGAAATTTTCATGGTGGTTTATACTATTTATTGAAGTAAAAAGTAGGATACATTTAAACTTTTATCTTTTAGCATGTTTCAGCATAATGATTATTTCGACTTTTATAAATCCAGATATTATTTTATGAATTTTTTTTTAGAGGTAAATAAAACTACAGGTGTTTTATTATCTATCACGTGTCATTGATAGTTGTGAAAATTCAATTACTAAAACAACAGCCCCCAATAAATGAGGACAACACATGGGTTGAATGTAATAAAAGTGATATTTGAAAACACCCTTAAACAATAAAATATTTCCTGTCTATTCAACTGTAAGACAAAAATCATCTTCCTGCAGGAAATGGAAGGTATGAAGTACCCTTACTCTTATGGCTTCTGTAATTTATGGTTTAAATAAAAAAATATATAATGTGGTATAAATTTTACCTTTACATATAATCATTTTTTTTAATCGTTCAGTCACGCCTCAGTCATTACAGCTGAACGGAGTGCTTGGTCAGCTCATCCCTACCCGCTACGATGTTGATTTACTGATAGATGACTAAATGACGTACTACTTTCGATGATAGAAACCAATCCCACGCTGTACAGTCTACTTTTTGCTTGGTCTAAATAGCCACGTCAGCATACACCCCAAATCCCATTATGGATGTGGGAGTGTTATGCCCTGTATCCGTGGTGTTAGATAATGGGACGCCATTTCACTGTTTCACGACTTAAGTCCTGATAATGCTTCCTGTCATCGTTAATACTACGCCCGAGACTCATCGACCAGTACTACATCATCGTGGTTAGCGGGCTGCACAGCTGACCAACCAGCTGGCCCGGAAGCAGCCGTTGGGAAGACAGTAAACTAAACCAAAATATCATACCAAAACCAAAATGACGGCCGTCCTTTCCAATTTTTCCATATTTACGATAACAAAATATTTAAAGCTCACAAAACGCCTTCGGGTACCGAGCCTTACCAGCGAGTCAAATTCGTTTAACACCACCGGTTAGTTACAAGTTTTACATACATGTAAACAAAGTACAACCACCTTGACCTTAAGCACCAAACTGAAACATAAAGACCCTATTTGGAACTTTTATACAATATAAGAAGACAACAACAAAACCAGTGCAACATGTAATGATTGCAATACAATAGTCAGTGCAAAAGCCACCTGACAAGTTCCTTGGCAAGGACTAAACCGTTTTTACTTTTTGTACGTAGTCTAATAAATCATTGTAAATCACTGTTTATTAGGAATTTACAATGAAATAGAAATAAGAACATTTAAAATGACTAAAACACTTTCATTATTTCATTACTAACAGTAATTAATCAGGTAGACAGTTGTTTTTATAGTAATGTCCACTCAAAATTTCGATCGACCAGTATTTGCTAGTATTTGCCAGTATTTCCTGGTATTTACATGTACCGGTATTTACCGACGACATGGTCAATACTCGTATAGACCGCTTTTTTGCCAACCTTGTTGAAAGCCGCAGGGTTGCCTATAATTGCTTACATCCACTCCATTTGAAGTTTGGTGGATAGTTGTCTCATTTTCAATCATACCACATCTCCTTATTCGTATACAATTATATCTTCACCATTTCTTTAAACTATATGTAATTGTACTTTGTATTGATGGTGGAATAAAATCACAAAGATAGATGAGTCCGTAGTTGGCCTGTTTTAAGGCAAAAATTCGAACTTTATCCAGCATAGCTATGTACATTTTCCAGTAGCAGTTTAAAATTTCCCACTCTTCATCCGGTGGACCTATCTACAAACCATACCTACAATGTATCTATTGCATGCATATAGCTTACTGTTCGGTGTGAGCCAAGGCTCCGTGTTGAAGACCGTACTTTGACCTATAATGGTTTACTTTTTTAAATTTTGACTTGGATGGAGAGTTGTCTCATTGGCACTCATACCACATCTTCTTATATCTATATATGAAGGGCGATGATATGCATGAAATATTTGCTACTGGATAATAATCAAGCAACTACCAATCATCAAATGTTTTTTTTTTTAAACAACACAACTTCGAGCTTATTTTTGAAGATTAATTACAAATGCATCAGTTATGATATTTAATTTAAATGCAAGGAGATGTTGGGTATAAGGAAATTTGGAATGTCTATAAACTGCAGAGAATATCCTTCCATTATTAACTACAGTTACTGTAAATGGTTCATCCGAATTGTAGGTATTTAAATAAAGAATAATGTATAACATTTTTACTTGAATATATAACTTATTCTAACATTGCGACAACTTTATTTCAGGTTGTGTTGGAATAGTCTTTACAACATGGGTAATTTGACTTATTCTTGTTTTTATCCGCTTGGCAATACTACGGATGTTGTATGCAAAGATGGTAAGCCATACTTTCGGGAGCATCCCACTCAATGTAATCAATTAGACAATATACCGTGACCATCGAAAAAAAAAATACCAAAAGGGTAACATACAGACTCGTCTACGTCAAAGAGAGAGATTACAACGTCAGGCGGTCTTTTCTTCCGACTAGCGTTTAATCTCAATGCTGTGTGATAACTATCATCAGAGCACCACGAATGTATGCTAATTAATCACGACTTTGTTTTTGGTAAAATTTTATTCTCGTTAAGAGGTGGTATAATTACAAACAATTTGAGGCAACTGCTGACGGTATTATATTGAATAGATAGAATGCGTTTGCATCATCATTACTAAAAGGGGGGAAATGATAATGTATATTATTATACTTTATGCAGTTTTTTCCCCAATCATTTCATTGGACTTGTATGAAGGTGTTTGGGTGATGAACACACTCGCTGAAAAAAAATATCACCCGCGACTTCGTCTTGGGTGATAATTTTAACCCTCATATGTTAATCAACCCAAACACCTTCATCCAAGTGCAGTATGTTTATACAGCTAATGACAATAAACAACTGAACAATGTGTGAACCACTCACATCCAAATAATTTCGTTATCTGGCATTATGCAGGTCTTGTTTCAGTGTTTGACAATTGAAAAGTGTACAAAAAAGTGATTAGAGACGTTTTGCTGACTTATATTATGTCCCTTCTCAATTATTTCCGGTGCAACATAAAAGCACACCACAGTTCAATTTGCATCTATATGCTTTGGTTTTTGCAAAAAATAATAAAAGAGGAACATTCATTTTGTTATTTAAGGACAATAACTTCTACAGAGAGTCAAATAAGAATTCCGAAAAAAAAAAATGAATTACTAGTTATTCTTGTCTTAACGATCTGTATTGCTATATACAGTGTCTATCTGTCTTTAATAGTGTTCAAGTTAATAGGCAAAAACGCCAAAAAAAAAAATTGGTGAAATCGTCATTTAGGGACAACAACTATGAAAAGTTGTCTGACAGTTATAATGTAATTGGACAGTAAGTAGATCTTGACATTTCTCACCTTTTCTCTATCTATAGCGGTTTTCATGATAATATACCTCGATATTCTATGAAGCCATGCAGGCGAGTTGGTTGGCAGGCGGGGTCATTGGACATTTTTTAAAGATTTGATGCCCTAATGCTGATTGTGACTATGTTTGATTAAATTTGATCCAGTTAATTCATTTGAGAATATTTTCGTAAAAGTGAACAGACGACGTCGGGCGCCGACGCCGAGTGATGGGAAAAGCTCACGTAGCCCTTTGGGCCAGGGGAGCTATTTAAGAGATGTGGTATGATTGCTAAAGATACAATTACCTACAAGCATCCAAATGACGTGGAAATAAGCAACAACTGAAGGTAATACATTTAAATGAATAGAACAAATTTATTAATAACTGACGATAGACAAATCTGTCACAAGGAAAACATGTATAGCTGTACAATATAACAGTTTGTGCTCAACTTTCAAAAAAAAAACTTTATGTCATTTAAGTGAGAAATATGTTTGATGCAAAAAAAAAAGAATGCTATCTTTTTGAATCTACACAAGTAATAAAAATGTTAAATAAAAACTAAGGAAAACTAAAAAAAAAAAAATAATATATACACATATGTACACTAATTGTCTTGAAAAAGTCTTCCAATGTTATGATTCATTCCCCGTCGAGATTTAGCATGTCTTTCTCATTGATATCGGCATACAAACTTTCTTTTTTATCTTTCACATTTGCTTTTCCAAAACTGAAATTGGACCACTTTCTCTTCTTTATTTTAGTTTTGATGGCTTTGTTGCTTGGTTTTCGTCGACATATTGCCTCTCTGTTCTTTACAATTAGACCACATACGACAACTAAAACGCTTCCAACTGCAACACAGGTCATGTAGGTAACAACGTTGCTGTTTACTGGAAGTTAAAATTATAGCTTATGTTTATATTTGTAAAACTGTTAAATTATCCATTATAGTGTGTGATAACATTTTGTGAGGGAATTCGATGTTTGCTATACCACGTTTCATTTCATCGCACTTTATGACAATACCACTATACCAATCAGAATGAAATGTTTTGCAGTGTTTTAAGAAATGATTTTACTTTGTATCCATGTATTATTTGTGAAACATTAAATGTTTTGAAAGGACGAATTTTCTGTATAAAGCCAATAATTGTGTAGACTTTTGAAGCCCAGACTTTATATTGCCTTAAATACGCAAATGAAAGATCCGAAAACTATACCAATACAAAACGACATGATTTTGAAATTATAGCAAAACTTTTTGTTGACAAATTTCATTAGTTAATACAAAAAATAAACTGACAATATCTGTTATTTCCACCCTACCCAGTTTACCCCTATGTCTTATTATGATGTGGACTGATCATTGTTATTGAATCTATTTCAATTTGATTGGATTAAGTTATTATTAATTTTCTGCCTTCAAACTGTTTATTTTTTTCATACACGTAATTATATTGATTAAATCAGAACGTGCATGAATATGTACAGTAACGCAAACGACCTTTAAACTGGACACTGGACGAGTCCATAATATGTTTCATCAATGAGACTAAAGGTATGAAAGGTAAGAATTCAAATTTGCCAATTTTAATATTTTTACATAATTTTCTACATATAGATCGAGTAGATAGATTATTTTTTGATAGCCTGTTCTCGAGAAAAAAGAAAAAAGAGAAAATTTACAAATCAAACGTTTTATTCCATTAAACAAGTCATTTTTGGGAGAGAAATGCCGAAATGCATTTTCTGCACGGCTACGCTAGGTACACGTGTAAAGTTATTGTTTATCTTAACAAAAAAAAAGAAAAATATTTGTCAGTCTCATTATTACAATTAATCCCAAAAAAAAGTAGTCAGTCAAGAAAGTCGAAATATGTGGGTATAAAATAGAGAAACGAAACACTCAAATCAATATTTATCTGTAAACCTGAATTGATTCATTTAATCGATGTATCATTCAATTATTTCTCCTGTCAGGTTATACGAGAAAAAATAACTCAGAGTACCAGCTGGTATTGGATAATACATCTCTTTCTGCCAAAAAAAATAAGACCTGGCGCCACGTACAACTAATCAATTTATAAGCCAGTGCACATCTCATTAACTAACGTTTCCCGCCAACACATTATGTTGGTATGGCTCTGGGAATATACAAATAAGGAGACATGGTTATTCATGATAACCAATCACCAAGGAAAAAAAGAACAAATACATGTTTGTAAAAATCTATCGATCATCGTAAGATCTTTAAAAAATAACCAAAACCAATTGCGTAGTAAGTTATAAGAGGTTCCCCGATAAGCCGCTATAATCAAGCAATTCATCGAAGAAAACGGAGCGAGCCGGGTGCATCGACAGGATCAGTGTCATCTTCTATGTATGTTTTACCCGTATTGGGAATCAAATTCAGTCAAAATGTCAAAATCTGGAATCGGACAAAATTGGAAAAATTGCAAATAAGACGACTATACTGGCATCTGAACATGTTGCTCGTTTAGACACACGCATGTCGTATCGGCCAGCCATTTTACGTCAGACTGAATAACTTATTAAGTGTTGATTTCAGTCGTTCTTTCTCATAACTCTGTTAGACCAGTTTTATATAAGGAACAGACCCTGCTTATGCAGTTTGTATTACCAAATAAAAGATTCGTCTTTTAAACAAAAGTATTGTCCGACCAATAAGTATTTCATTGCCTATCATACTTCCATCATCCGACCACGCTATAAACTACTGAACATGGGTCATATTTGGTTGGCTTGGGTCATTAATTGTTAAACTCTATTAGAAGACATTTCGAAAACTTTACCGACGCTTACCGGTACATCTATACCTATGGGTAACCTTTTTAAGAAGGGGTCATCTCAATGTGTATAACGGCTACACGCATTTATATTATATTTTTTTTGTAATTTACATTTTCAAATCTGTATAAAACATATATTTTATTGGATTTTCTCCTTGATTGGTTTTGTTTAGGAGCTATTGACCGATCTTAAAATTGTACTTTGTAAAAAAAAGGGGGTGGGTGGGGGGCTTTGTGTAAATAAGCAAAACTTTAATCAGAAACGCGTGAAATATAACGTATGGATATATGGATGATATTATTAGTTATCTTGATGTAATCAGGGGTGTTCGGAATTTTACACCGGTGTTGAAAATGCATTGTAAAATTCCGTTCACCCCTGAGTACACCAAGGATTTGGATACACTATAAAAATCCTTGATTACATCAAGAAAACGAATTCATTTCTTATAAAACGTTCCTTTACTACTTTTATTTGGGTGTAAAATTTAAAACATCTTATGAAGAACTTCCACTTCAACATCTCAAATAGAACTTAAATATATTTCATCTATTTTTATGTATTTTTTGGTGAATTTTGTCAAAATGTACCTTTTTTTTTTGTTTTGGCAAAATTTCGTCTGATTGTATTTTTTTTTTTTTTTTTTAACTTTTGGCATTTTTAGTCTTGTGGAAATTTACACTACAACCATTATTTATTTTTTAATAGAATATTTTTACATGAGTCACCGAAACTTCTATTACAAATCCCAAGACCTGTTGATTTACACAATTTAATATATGCTTGCTTCATAAGAAATAAGATACTTTATTTAGGAGAACAGTGACATCGACGATAAACCAATCCTGCACAGATATCACCAATGGGAGATGATTTGTTCATTAGATGTCTCCGCAATGCTTTCTAGCAATTCATTTTGTTCATTGTATATTCTACCTTAACACTGTATACCGTTTGAATGGTTGCAAACAGAAACAATTGAAAAAAACAACAACGGATGGAATTTCACAAATTCATTACTTAAAAATAATCCAAAACTAATGAGAGCATTCGGTGTTTCCAGTTCCGATTCCGAATAAAAAGACTATATAAGAAAAATTACAGAATATATTTTTTTTCTGTGCATCGAATTGTTGCATGGCCAAATGCCTGTCTCTATCCAATATACTCTCATTTTCTATAGGCAGTCCGAATTTCCTACGTCTGCATCCCGGAAGGCCTCTATTACAGGACCTTCCTGTTATATTTATTGTTATTTTGTTCTCGGCCTGAACATGCATGAAATATTTGTTACTGGACGTTAAGCAACCATAAATCAATCATGCAATGAATCAAACATTTAAAACATACTTTTATCGTTTATTGTTACGCTATTTTAGCTTGCTTAATCGTGACATCTTTTGAACTCTGAAAGTTCTCCAAATCAATAGAATGATTTTTTTGAGATATCGATCATTCATCTTCGTGGGACAAACCATTTTTTTTTACTACTTTAATGAAACACAAACATTTTTTTTCTTTTAATAACATACAGGAACATTTCTCAAACTCTTCGTTGATTCCTTTGACCTTTAATCTTCGGTGGAATCATGCGATTTCTCTCATTTCCCTCCTGACACCAATGTATTTTTTCCTTAAAAAATCAACTCCCTCCCTCCCCCCTCCAAAAAAGAAAAAATATCATGATTGGTCTGCACCTAACTAATACAAAACTTTACATATCATCGTTTACTTTATCATTCAACTGTACATATGAATGATTTGTTGATTGGTGTTTAACGCCGCTTTCAACACTACTGTTCTATTATGTGGCAGTCAGTTTTTATTTGTGGCGGAAGCCGGAAAGCCCGGAGAGAACCATCGATCTTTGGTTGGAGAACTGACAATCCTAGTCAGTTAAGATTCGAGTCGAGCGCAACTGCCACGTGCGGGATTCGAACTCACAATCTTAGTGTTGACAGGCTATAGTTATACTTAAGTTCGACTACTTAGACCACTCGTCCAATGAGACCCCCCCCCCCCCCCCCCCCCCCCCCCCCCCACCCCATTCCCCCAGCTGTATAAATGACATACGATGTATTATGATATTATTACGTGAGTATTTCTGTATTGGCCTTGTTATTGGTTCGAGGCTTGCTGTATTGGCCTGAGGCGAAGCCGAAGGCCAATACAGCTGGCATAAGACCAATAACAAGGCCAATACAGAAATACTAACGTAATGATATCTTTATTAATTAACTACAGTGTTAACATATCTTTTATTTCATTTCACAGGAGATTAACATTTTTTACCTTGAAGTGGAACTATATAAGTCTGAGTTCCCTTTTTTAAGCTGCAATATCAAATGATCTGATGCTGTTTCCAAGTGTCTTCTACATTTCTGATGATTTTTTTACCCTTTCCAGTCACTATAAAGTGTTACAATTCATATTTAGACGCAACACATAAATAGTAATTGGAAAGGTACTGCCATTGCATGAGTAATGCAGAAACAAAAAGGATGATTTAAAAAACATAAAAGTAGGAGTTGAATATGATTGAAAAAGATACAACTATCCATAAAACAACTGACCGAAAAACGAATATTTGGACAATTACAGGTCACCCTTCAACAATTCATATGCCTGGTTCGGGTTGAAAGATAAATGACACTTACACAAAACATGAGAAGCGAAAATAAACAGTAAATTGATTTGTACCTCAAGAAATGAACTTTGTGATAATCTAATCGTTGCCCAAACCTGAAATAATTCAATTGTCTGCTTACAAAATGCTTTTTTAAATGAATACGACCGTCTCCCGTCTGAAATATATGCCAAACTGAATGTTTTCAACGTTTATGCATGTTTATGATTAGTAAAATAAAACTGCGTCTTCCAAACGACTGTGTACTTTACGTTTGTGTTTATCATGACTTTCGATCTAAAAACTAGAGACGTTCCGAAATCCTGTATTGGCCGGATCAGAACTCGGCCAATACGGAACAAAATCAATATTGGCCGAGTTATTCTGTATTGGCCGAGTTGACACTTTTGTATTGCATAGGCAGTTTTCATGATATTAAGTCCAATAACAGAGTAGTTAATTAATAATTGTATTTACTCACATAGATCAGGTATCCTAATAGTGTGTTACATTTTATACATTTGAGCATGCATATGGTACACTTGGTAGTATCTGCCGGGCAACACTTTTAAAAAGTAAAGTAATTTACAAAAACGCAGAGAGAAAATGAATTTACGGAAAGCCTAGTTTATCTTGATTAAGTTTAATACAATTCATGCTATCTTTTATCGATATTATTGTCTCACCTGCTTCCTGGACGTCATTGTGGGACCTTTTATCAGTAGGTACAACAGTTCCTGTCTTATCTACATTATGAATAAAAACAGATTTCAAATTGATTTTAAATGCATTCAAAATAGTTTTCATTTTATAACTTATATTCAAAATGCATTATCATTACTATACTTGATGAACATTTTTTTTTATCAGTATAAGCATCATGATGTCTTCGTGGTGATAGCTTCAAATATACTGCAAAATTGAAAAAAAAATCCACACGGTAACTACGGTGCTACTGATAATTTAATTTAGGTGGATACCCATGTATTACACAACTGCAAGTGAGACAAGTGGTTTCGTTATACAAATGTAGGTCGTTTTTTATGTTGTCTCGGAATAGTCTGAGGAACATATTGTAGTGCATCATTTCCGTACATTCTTTTTCATAGTGATGTTCTTCTATATATAGCACATAAGATTCCTGACACAAAACTATTGCCTTGTTCCTCGATTAAGACACCAAAGATTTTGAGACTGATTATTTTGTCAACATTAAATACTTTAATTTGGTAATATATGCTAATCATGTTTCTATTATATTTGTTTTGGCTGTTTTATTTTAGTTTCGTGTTATCTTTCGGTGATCTGTAAACACGGTAAACGTTTTGAAATTTAAAAAAAAAGATATATCCTGAGACTGGCCTTTCGGCTACGCTTATGTGATTATGATGTTTAGACACATAAAATGCCCATTAAAATCCAAATGTGCATATTAGAAGTATTGTACAACTCCAAGCTAATATTAACTCGACACCTTGCGCACTCGTAAAAGTTTATGTATCATACATGAATATGGCAATGAAGTCTTACCGTCTATCGAGACGCATCCCAACACATGATCACATCTATATAATAAGAGAAACAACGTTGTTTAAAAAAGACGGAAGATACCAAAGGGAAGTTAATTATGTGGTTGTCATAGATTGCTGTCAATCTTATTTGTTGTTGTTGGGGTTTTTTTTTAGCATAAATTCGGTCGTTGCTTTTCTTGTTTGAATTTTTTTCAAATTTTGTCATTCCGGGCCTTTTATAGCTTAATATATGTTATGGGTTTTGCTTAATCTTGAAGGTCATACTATGACTTTTAGATGCTTATATCCTAGTCATTTGACCTTTGTTGGGTAGTTGTCTCATTGTCAATACATCACACCTCCTTATTTTTAAAATGATAAAACAATAACCCTTTACCTGATCCATATGCAATTTATACTGCATGTTAATGTGTTCTTTTTGTAAATGAGTGTTAGTCATACATGTCATACAATTAGGCTGACATATTTGGCTACAGTAGCATATTATATATTTGGATGTAAGACCTAAACTATATGTGAATGACGTTTGATTTCAGTTAAGTATATTTGTTCAATTTATTTCAAATATTTAATATTTTCATATTTTACATGGAAACGCTCCCACTTGGCTTAACAACAATTTGCAATTATGATGCAGATTAATTGAACGTATTTTTCTAGTCGTCTTAAAACAACAATTCAAAAAATCTATCTAATGATGAGTCAAGTTTGAAATAAGTAATGTTTTCGACATTTCAAAGCAACGCTCCTATTTTTGTTTACATTCTTCCTTAAATTTGATTATTTGAATTCGCCTTGTCATTACGTAATGCAATTTAACGAATCAATTCGAAATAATTTGGTTTGGGTTTCTTAAAACAAATTAAGTTTTCAAATGGTAAATTATAACAATGTTCAGGTTAAGAGCTGCGCGACTTCCATAGAAGCATAATCAACAATATAAAGTAAAACGCCCCTAAAATCAAAGGACGCATGAATGAATCACTCCGGAAACATCGTTTTTTGTTGTTTATTTTTGTATCCGTAGTTAGCTACTCTACTTGATCAGAAGGACATTACAACAATCGGTAAGCTTTATTACAAGACAAACAAAAAATCAAAACCTTTTAAATTCATTTGTTTTATTGTACCTTTCCGTACTGTTACAGCTGCATATCGATGCGCACTTTTTACCATGATATCCATTTTCACATTTTTTACATCCTCCACCACCCTTTGAATGAGAGCCAATTGGACAGTCTGGAAAAAAAATAAAGAACAAAGAGAGTTTTGAAGACAATTCAATTCAACCTTCTATATGTTTATTTTTCATCAAACATATCAGATTTTTATTAAAAACATAGGACCTTTCAATGCTCTACATTAAAACATATGTCTGAGCACCCTGAATTTTAAAGAAGTTCATAAAGGATACGTTGTTAAAAATAACTATCAATTCAATAGGTCCAGTACACTATCTTTCATTTTACGGACATGCAAAACAACTCACCAGGGATACTTAAATTAGTATACTTATCACTACTATCATGACTATGCCCGCCAATACATTTCTTGTTTGCATAAAACGCACAATCATTATATTAAGTCTTGACAACGATTCATATGCAATGGCTAATACGTGTTGATAATTTACAAATGTACCAATAACTCATCTTTTTAGTGACATACACGTTAGATTGCCTGAAAGAGAGTTCATTTTATTTTTTTGTTCGTTTGTGTTAACATTTACAAACCATGCATGCTCAAATTTACGAATAACTCTTTCCGTCCCAAAAAAGAGTGCGATACGCGCACTTTACCTTATATTAATGGGGAACACATGGATATTTTTGGTATATGTCCAGGAGACATCAACCACATGAAACAAGAAAAAAGAAGACAGTCATCCTTTATAAAACTGTATTCTGCTATCAAGATTTTCGAAAAAGCATGAGTCAAATACCTGTGAAATGCTCAGAAAAAAACCCATAGTTGTGTGCACGGTATAAAATCAAACCTACTTCAATCATGCAAAAGTTAATTTGTTTTAAGACATATTATTACCTTTCTAAAACATGTATATATATTTTTTTTTTATTATGTCGTTGAAAAACAAACACCAACTCTTTACTTTTAAAAGACTACTTATAGGACATGTTTGATCAGCGCAAAATGTAGGAAAGAGAAACCATATTTTTGTATCTGAAAAATTGTTGTTTCTAATTGGAATATAGTCTTGGAATAAAGGTAGATCGAATAATGTCTGCTTAATTTCGAGTAACAACTATTGAATGCATATTCAGGTCGCTACCATGATGAATATATTTGAATATACCCTGCTTTGTACCAGACCAACACACTTAATCGGTGTGCTATTTCAGAAGAGAAGATGGACAGGGGATCCCTGATTCTCACTTCCCTCCCCAACACATAATTTTCTCCCCTACGTTTGACTCCTTTCCCCTTAATCCTAGACGAAAATTATTAAAAAAAAACCACTTTCTGCATATCCCTTTTTTTACTCCCAATTTTCTGGCTATTCTCAACCCCCTCTTCCATCGGTTCCAATCGGTTTTAGACTCCGAACTAACCAGTACATGCGGTTTAAGTACTCTGTAATACCACATGCTTGTAAGAGAAATAGCATATACAAATTTTAAAATCTTTGAATTGAGCCAGTCGGGAATAAAACCTACGATCTCTTGTACTTATCATTATTACACATGTAACACATATTAATACCACTTGTGATACCTCGCTTATCTAGTATACCATGAATGCAAGGGTTTGGAAATAGGATGACGTTTTATTAAAAAAAAACCTCCAAAAGTATAACGTAATCGGAGTTAATCAAATAGATTTTCTTGTGCATTTTACCTTGTTTCTCGACATATTGTCTATTGTAAAATAATCTATTAATTTATGAGAATTTAATTTTCTTTACTAAATATTTCCCCATTTTGCTTTTATTATGACTTGTTTTTCCTTCCGTCTCCTATGTGTCTTAAATGTCACTTTTTCTAATATGGCGGTACGATATTTGTTATTTGATATCGAACAATTATTGCGCTTTTGATACTCATTCTTTTTAACCGAACATTTTTTACATAAGGTATATACATAAGGTACATGTATGTACATACATATATGTACAACCACATTAGCTGTTTTTTTATTATTTCGCTTCTCTTCAGAGGCCGTGAAATCATATGTTTTTGGAATCAGTCAAAGATAAACAATAAGTTGACATCAGTAGTGCCTGTTTGATCGGAAGTAGATTATCATCTCTCTCATTAAAAAGAAAATATATTTTTGGAATCTGTGGAAAATAAGTTTTCTTCTGGCATTGCTTTTGCACATCTATATAAAGGTTCATGTAGGCTTTAAAATCAATATGTAAGGAAGAAAAACCTTCAATTGTCCTGTAAACATATAACTTTTAAATCAATTTGTTTTGCTACTCCTCGATTCGCAACATTTTTATATAAAAATAAGGAGATGTGGTATGATTGCCAATGAGACAACTATCCACCAAAGTTATAATGAAGTAGATGTAAGCAATTATAGGCAACCGTACGGCCTTCTACAATGAGAATATTGTCACATATGCAATACATGCACTGTAAATATACCTGACGCCTGACGCGTCCGGACGCGTTCAAAATTTTTACACCGAATGTTCAATATTTTAACGTCAAATGTTCATGCTTAGAGACGTGTTCAAAGTTTTAACGTTTGTGTTAAAAATATTAACATGTGTGTTCAGACGCAGTGAACACCGGTGTTCAAATTCTGATCTAAAAAAGAAGATAGTCGTTTGTCCGATTTTCTATCCTTCCAATTGGCAAATTCAAAAAGAAGTTCTTTAAAAAATATGAATGTAAACGCAGGATGATGATCTTGTGAATTTTTGGCTAATATTTTAGTAATTATGAAATATTAAACTTCCAAGCTGGCATATATGTATAGTTTATGAATTTATTTTATTATTTATTTATATATACTAGTTTTACTTATAAGTGACATAATTATGCATATCAATGAGGCCTGTTATGATAATATCGTAATAAAAATATGTCGATGTTTATCTTATTTCATGATCCGTTCATTTTATTAACATTACATGTTCAATCAGTGTTCAAATCGCTCGAAATTTTGAACACCTCGTGTTAAAAAAAATATACCAGGATACCAAATACCGGAAACAGATATCGGCTGGCGATTTAGGCGGTTAAACGAAGAATGGATACACATACGAAAGAGAACTGGAGAAGGGACTTCTATCCCATATGAACACGAAAGAAGTAAGTAACAAGTTAGAATAATCTCCATAGGTAGTTCGATGGCTTCCTTGTTATTTTCTCATGCCAGATATATATTTGTCAAATATTCATAACTGTTATATCCAAATTTTCAATATTCAACATAAAAGACGAATTAAAAAACGGGCTTTAGATATAAACGTAAATACCTGTCAGCTGTGTTGATGATTTCCTAAACTGATGAATAAACAGTCTGTATGTTATACAGAATAAATGATGATTTTCGACATCCACATACATAAGCTGAACACTAAGTGTTAAGAACTCTAACATCAAGTGTTAAAAAATGAAACACAAAGGCATTAAAAACTGAACACCATACATTCAATTGATGAACACTAAGTGTTAAGAACTCTAACATCAAGTGTTCAAAAATGAAACACAAAGGCATTAAAAACTGAACACCACATATTCAATTGATGAACAATAGTGCAAACATTTGGAACACCATTTTTGACTTAGAAAATGCATTTGTTTTTTTTTATTTGCAGGAATCGTTAGATTAAAATGTTTGAATTAGGAACCGGTAGCCAATAATCCCAAAAAGGTCATTCTGCATGCTATATAGTGGTGGAAAAAAGAAAGATGTCGAAAAAAGGTATGACAATATATGTATATTAATAGCTTATGTGGGTGTATCATTTCTATCTGTTCACCTTAGGTCAAGAAATCGACTTTTGTAATTTATAATGTCAAAACTTGCATTTCATTGCTATAGAATATCAATTTGTACACTAGTATATATCGACATTAAAGCATAACAAGCATTGCATAATTTGATGCTTTATGAAAAACTCTCTTCTATTAATTTTTAATTTTATTTTGCAGGATATATAGGCTCATAGACATTCATTGTTGTGGAGGATTTTGACATTGGAAGTTGATAACAACACATAAAATGCCACCCAGTTGATAGCTTTAAGTGAAGATGCACTGAAAAGTGGAGCGTACGTTGTATGTGATCGTACAAGAACTATTGGAATGTGCAAACTTTTAAACTTTCATTGTGACAAATACCTATATCATAAACTATCTAATTATCACATTGACATGCTTTTTTGGTTAGGATACAAATGATGTTGCAACTATCTAGTCATGTAGAGGAAAATCATTATTTGTGATACATATTAAGTCTGTTTAAAAACATTATGTATGTGATTTCACTGACTGTTACTTGTGATATCATAAGGTATCTGGTGTACTTTTCTTACATATAATATGCTCATTTGATTACATAAAGAATTACTTGTTAAAATATGTTTTATTGTTATATTTTGCCTGATTGAATATAGTTTTTATAACAGTTTATTTAAGTTGAGTACTTGTGGAAAATTATGTACGCTTGAAAATAGAACATGTTCCACATTTGAACACCATCACTTTGAACACTTATGTCAACTGTTCTGAAAGTTAACGTCTGGTGTTCTGAATCTTAACACTTTGGCTTTAAACATGTTCTATGTGTTCAAAAAGTGTTACATGGCTGTTGAACGCGTCGACGTATTAAGATTTTGAACATTCGGACACGTTAAATCGTTGAACACTAAGTGTTAAGAACTCTAACATCAAGTGTTCAAAAATGAAACACAAAGGCATTAAAAACTGAACACCACACATTCAATTGATGAACACTAGTGTAAACATTTGGAACACCATTACACGTTCAAAAAGTGTTACAAAAAAGCGTTCAAGCAGTGTTCTATTTATTAACACTTAGATTTACAGTGTGCATATGTATATATATAATTTGCAGATTTAACATTGTTGTGCTGATATTTAGAGTAATTATCAGCACAACAATCCTATCTTGGTTTAAATAATTCTCAAAAGTTTTATTCTCGGCTTTGAGCGTTATTGATGAAGGTAAATACAGGAAAACGCTTCACACGTAAGAAATTTATACAGACTGAGTGTTGTTTTCATTTTTTAGGTCACTTC